AGTTTGTTCCAGTTCCGACGCTCCGATAACAGACGAGTGAAAAATCTGTGTGAATTCGACGCTTGTTCGGGGGTTGACGAGCGTGTCAAAAAACGCAGCTTTGATTTTGAAACAGCCGCTTTGGAGCCAGTCGCGTAATGGTAAAAAAGAAGACTTGTTTGGGACAGAAAAATAGTTGTAGATTGTTTTAGTCAAAATTTGTGTATTTTAAATACTAAGCCTGCCCCTCAGATTGACCGTTGTTAAATACTAGGTCGGAATTAGGGCACCCCTTTTGCGATAGAACGTTCCACCGGCAGAATGACGAAAAACCTGCCGTAAGTTTCGCGAACCCTTACGCTTGGGTGCAAGGCGCTGACCTGAAGTAAAATACACAGCTCTTTAGCTTTAAGCGTTGTTATCTTTATCTGTAAATATCAAAGCTCGTGTTGAGCGAGTTTTTGGTCAGACAAACCATTACCAAAGGCATGTGCGTTTGCATGGAACATAGGTCGGAATTAGGACCCCTCCCGTTAGGTGAAGACTTGGACGACACTAGCTGGCAAAACTGAAACAAAAGGGAATCCCAAAATCTCCGGCAAATTATAGGTCACTAAACAAAGAAAAATGACGCATAAATATTTCCCTGAAAACGATTTCAACCCAGGAGTTTTTCATCACAAGAAATCCATAACTTTGCAGGTTCTATTCAACAGGCCCGCCAGGTGAGCCTATGACGTCACCCTCGGAGACCGCTCGGCAATGTTCGGTAAAACTCGGAAAAGGAAATCAAGATGGCTGGCGGAAGAGACACTGGAAGTGCGGTACAGAGACAAATTCAGCAGGACTGGGCCAACAGAGAGTACATAGAAGTCATCACTGCTAGTATAAAGAAGATAACAGACTTCCTGAATGCGTTTGGTGGGTATACTCCGCTGTTCTTTGCGTATTGTGTTCAGGAGAGAGGGTTTTGTTTTGCCACACCTTGCCCCCCTCCCCAAGCTCCTTCTCCGATTTCCGTGGGTAATTTTTGGTCCAAAAAATGGATTTGTTTGACAGATATAACATACAGGGACTTGTGAAATCGATTCAGATATGTAGGCTTAGACATTTTCGCCATGAGGGAACGCTACTAGTTCTTAAGGAAGAATCTTGGCAAAAAATAGGCTCACAAATTATCCAGATCTGATAATTATTATCGTGTAATAATCTGTCAGGGACTGGTTGTAGTCTTGAGTTTTGTAGTTTTGACCTCTCGTACCTTCCATAATACCCTGCGAAGGGTATCTGTATCTGTAGGGTAGCACCAGTATTCTGTAGATGTAGATGTACATAACATGAATGAATTTTGTCCTAATATAATTTACTTGATCCATCCCTCCCCAGACATGTCCTGCCGCTCCAGGCTTGCCATGCTGAATGAGAAACTGACATCCTTGGAGAGACGCATCGAGTATATCGAAGCCCGGGTGAGTCTGAGACTCTGACATATGTTTAAGACATTGATTTATAATAAAATTGGATATGGTTGACTGTAGTCTGTAGTTGGGATTATGCTATTATTGAAGTTTATTCTATAGTACACAATAAAATCTGTGTTTCCTCTCCAGGTCACAAAGGGCGAGACTCTGACTTAAGTATTCTGTGAAGAGAGTGATGCAGGGACAGTGGACGTGATCATCAGGACAAGAAAAGTATAACATAAAAAGGACTGGGACTTCTTATATTCTAAAAGAAACAGTAAAGGAAAGCGGAGAACTTGTAGATATCTCTCTTGATGAGACAGAAGAATTCAGTGTAAGGTGACTAAGTTCACATGTTAATTTGAGTGCCACTAAACATCTCTTTGGGTTTGTATATTTGTATATTTCTTATAACAATCAAGTATTGTTTAATTAAGCAATAGTTGTACAAGTGCACAGGTGTGGGTATGGAGGGGGTGTTACCAGCAGATCTACTTGCTGTAGCTAGCGACATTTCAAGCGATGAGGTGGAATCAGATGAGAGCAGTGACTCCTCAGATGCAGAGAGTCCACAGGACAAACCGACCAACGAGAAAACAGCTGACCAAGTCCGTTCAGAGAGGTGGAAGAAGTTTAGCCAAATAGACAGCGAGAGAGTGGCTGTTGTGAAGAAAATGAAACGGCGGCGTGGTGGCAGACGTCACCGAAAGCGCCAGAAGACTGCTACACCTCACAGTGATGCACAGTCATATAACAGCGTACCACCTCCAACCTGCGAACCCAAACCTGACCCACTCCAGCCCCTGAAGCCCTACATGGACCTCCCCAAACCACCGCAAAGCAGCGGGGCGACTCCTGTGCCCAAGAGCGGCCTGGAAGAAAAGATTGAGCAGGCGATTGCAGATGGGAAGATTGGCGAGGCAGAAGAACTGAATGAGAAGCTTGCGGAACGGGAGATGGCAGTACGTATCACCGAGGCGGTACGGGCGCGCGAGTGGAAGGAAGACAAGGACGTGGATGTCAAGAAACGCGGGCACAAAAAGAAGAAGCAGCTGGGTTGGATGTTTGAAGCCAAACAGAGATGGGAGACCAAGGGCAACATGTAGTCTTGTTTATACAGCTTGGTTATATGATGTTAACATCATGAAGTGATCATGTAGTGGTGAAGTATGTATTTGAATATGATTAATTTTGTGTGTTTAGTAAATAAACTTATCACAAACTATAAATTACAAAGTGCTCTATGTGGAACTTACTGTATTTTTTTACTACATCATATGCATAGCGTAAACGGTTTACAAATAACTACATCCCCTCCCCTCCCCTCCCCCAGTCACTGAGTAGGTACCCTCTCACACCAGCACCAGACAGACAGTACTCAGTGCTCCATTGTATTAACCAGTGTACTGAATTGGTTGTGCATGTTTTAGAGAGAGAGAAAGGTTCGCCTTACGGAACAAAATACATACACATCTAGATGATGTCTGTGTGATTATGATTTCAGTTGACATTTGCAAAACATTCCATGTGTTCGTAGTAAGCTGTCAAGGCCCTTCAGTATTGTCCAGAGCCATTTTAAGCCACACCATAAATAAGTCCCCGGCCTGACACCGTTTACGCTAAGTGCCAAGCAATGCTGACGGAAACTGCCATCCTGCTATAGGCAGGCCGGATTTAAACCACAAGACGAAACCCAGCCGTCAGTACAAGACGCATATACAGTCACCTTTCCGGCATTTCAAGAATGGACGTCTTTAATTTTCGATGATCCCGAAGATGAGGTATGTCACGAATAAAGTATTTCTCGAGATCTGTTGAGGTGAAAAGGATTTCTGTAGGCCTGCATGTTTTGTGCTTGTGATAACTAGGTTGCGCAGACATTTATGTATTGCCTAAGCTCAGTGACGCAGAGTAAAAAGGAGCAATTTGCTTCAAATGTTGCAGCTGTGGCCAAGAGAGACTGATAAAGTCAGGATACGGACGTTCATTTTCAGTGCAGATTGTCTCAGGGCCCGGCCTTGTCACATTCATCCTACACGATGGTTGTACGATCGCAAACTGAGGGCATTCTTGGGATAGTCGTGGATGTGTCGTACCAATTTCGGCAGTCTTGCTGCCGAAAAGACTCTAAGATCCATGTTGGTGGTTGGTACTGTCACAGCCTAGCTGTTTGAAAAACCCTCCAACATGTACATCAACATTCCAGGACGACCTAGATGAATGAGGCCGCACCGTAACTCATTATAGTGATATAGTCGTGGTGATATGGACCTTCATGTCCCATACGTTGTTTGGGGCCATCAGGTGCACCTTACACTACCGCAGAAGTTGTACAATGTACATTTTGCCAAGGAGGTTTAAATGCTTGATTGTGCGTGTATTTATTTACAAGTGTAGCCTGGATACCAGACTGTTGTCAGGGCTAGTACATAGGGATGTTTGTGGTGGCCTTTGGGACGTGTTAGCCCTGGAGCCGCTGAGTAGGTAGCCTGTATACTAGCCCTGGCAACAGTCTGGAACCCAGGCTATTCCGCTGTGACCATTCACAGGAGAAGGTCCGCCAGCGCGCCCTGGCCCGAGGGGCGGCGGTGCAGAAGGTCGCGGCAGAAATCGAAGGGGAGTGCGAGGAACTTCGCAGGTCACTGGTCAAGATAGAACGCCGGTAAGAAACACAACAACATTATATCCAACGGATGATTCGTCATGCTATTTCGTGTTATTGCATTAAAGAGCTTTGAGTGACGCTTAGTATTGTGCATTAAACGGGAAGGCAGAGCGTGAGAGATTTTTGATAAGGGATGATTGTCTTGCGATACTAGTCCAGCACCGTTTAGTCTATTGCCATTTGGGTGTGATTTTCTTATTGAATGATGCTTTGGATTCAGTTAAGAGGTTATACAGGTATGGATGAGAACTTTCTTGGATTCTCGCGCAGACCTTCCCTTTTCTCATCAGTGGTCAATTTTCATAAATCTGTGACTCTAACACCGACCACAGGTACGCCCTGCTGTGTGAGCGGAGGCACGAGAAGGTCCGGCGGGAGTTCGAGAGGCGCCGCCGCCGCCGACAGTCCATCCTGTGGCCCGGGTCGGACTCCAGGGAGTGGCATCGACTCATGTGGACCATCACCGCGCTGTGTGTGGGGTTCCACCTAGCGACAGCCACAGTGCATGCAGCGTCTCTCTGGATGCTGTGATACGGAGAGTACATTTTTGCACCAAAAATTGAAATACTATTTGAAACTAGAAGTTTCAAACATACAAGGCGGCCAGCCTTGTATGTTTGATTGGCCGTGGAAGAAAAGAAACTACCTCCCCGCGACCGGACTCCCTTGGCCAATTTTACTCTCTTTTTTGCCGAATTCTACGATCCGTATTCCCGTAGAAAGGCCTCGTGGAGGCTACATCAAAATGAGCAGAGCAAATTGCAGTTCTGGAGGAGGACTACAGAGGTCGCTCGCGAAACGTTTGACTTTTTTCCATAACCATCTCTCGTACTCTGCTGTACTGTTGTACGTGTGATCTTACAAGCATTAACGGTTTGGTGTAACGCTTGCTTCAATCCAACACATACAAACAGGCAACATGGGTTTCCTGTGATAGGAGTACAGAAGCAATAGTTATTATATTACAGTAAATGCGGTCGGATCAGGAATCGGTTTAGATTCTGAGGGGCAAGCGATTTGAAGCAGTAACCCTTGGTTCCGTCTATCAATTTCTCCGTATCTTCTAATCCTATACATATTTATGACATTAAAAGCTTATTGATATATGGATACAATCTTTTCTATATATGTACATATACATGTACAATATGGTTTTAAAGATATACGTTAGTTTGACGTATGTTCTGAAAACACGTTGCTTCCTCGTGAGTGGGACGCACATGGAAGTTCACGTAGTCCCAAATGTGCGTCAAGGCATAGAATCATCGCCAAGACTTGAAGTCACGTTGATGACAAGGTGAACATTATAACCGATCATTCTGCCTAAGTGTATCATAAATATGAATTAGGGCCGGCGAAAATAAAGCCGACAACATCAAATGACAAAATAGCGCGGAGACGCCAATTCAATCAGCTGCTTTTTGAACTAGTTTTCCCCCGGGTACGGATGTAGCGGTGCGTGCGTGTGTGCTATTAATGGCCACAGGGATCAAAGCTGAGACATGGTTGTGACGTGTTCACGCCGGGTTTAGTTAGTTTTGCAGGTATAATTGGCCATCTTGTTTCCCATGGAGACCGGAACAGCGAGGCCGCAAGAAATGCTATGTTATGAAAGACACCCACACACAGAATCTGGGTCTCTCTCCTGAAAGGCACAAAACGGGTAGCCTCTACAAAGCTCCGGGAAGTGGCTGGAAAGAGTAGAAATTGGCCAGAAAGACAGATAACATACCAGGGGAGTTGATCCGCTGGAGAGTAAATTTTGACGCTCCCGGAGCCTGGTAGGGGCTAAAAAACGCCACCCCTATAGAACGATGTGCAAAATGTCTGCATGTACCACGACAACAAATTGGGGGTAACAGGGAATCCACGCAAATCAGAAAAGACCGACCCCAAATGATGTCGGGTAGGTTTTTGTAGCCACCGCATGACCTTATAGATACTGTTTACTAGTATATAAACACTCCTGCATAGAGCAGTCGATACATATTTCATTGTACCGAAGATGTGTACAACAAGTCGGGCTTTACGAATGCATTCCCCTGTTCTTGGTACAGTTAACACTCGCTTTATAAACCCTTGACCCCTGATTTCAAGACAATATTTGTACTATTTTATCCAAAATGTTGATCCAGCCTTCATCTGAGCATGGAACGTGTCCCCAGGCCCCGCTAAAGTAGTCTGGTTTGTCTCTTATCGACGCTTCCTCGTGTTCTGAAAAATAGAGGACCCTGAAAAAGACGCCCCATGGGGATCTGACGTCCTCAATGAATATCCCAGTTGGTGGCCTGTTCTTATTCTGGTAAGTAAATGCACTTTTTTCCGCGGTTAGTTAATATAAGGTCATGTGTGTAACGCCGCCCCAGGTCCAACGGAAAGTCTTTCAGCACCAAGGAAGGGATAGTTTTGGGCCGTCCACTTGTTATCGGGTCTTCGCTCTGGACTCTTGGAGCATATGCAGGTGTTTCGTATGACTTTAACTTGTGCCATGTTGTGGTATAGTATAGGCCTATCAAGTATCATCAACGTTTTGATGCTGTAAATCCTCTTAATCACCAACATGGCTTCTGGGTGTTCAAATTATAATTATTATGACGTCAATAAAAACCTCTATAGGGTGATTTTCTTTAAACTAGTTTAGTCTACGGATGAACATTTAGTCTAAGGTATGAACATTCAATGAGCATACAAAATGAATATGTACATCGAGTGGAAAAAATTCAAGCCGTATAAGGCAGATTCAGCCACAATTGACATCGCATTCAAGCATACATACATATAACAACACATATAGCCAGATATTCCTAGTTACAAAATATCGCGAGTACGTCTGTAACCTTTCACTTTGACGTCTTAATTAATCAACAAAAGTGCAGCCCATCCACGTGGCTTCACAAACCACAGTCGCGGAAGAGCCCTCTTTTGAAAAACCGTGCAGTCAATCCGCGTGACTTCACACACTCGGAAGAGGAAGAGCCCTCTATTGAAGGAAAAAAAAGCTGGTTTTGTCACCAGCCTGTTGCCACGTGCCGGCGTGCGTCATTACCTGTTCAGAGCGGCACGAGAGTGCACGTCGGGACGTCATCGCGCCGCTATCCCGTCCAAACAAGTGCGGATCCCGCCACACGTTGCCAGCGGACACGTGACGCCGTGACGTTAACAGGCCTTTCAACCGGGGGAGAAAACACCCGGTAACGACGTACTTCTCCTGAACTCAAGAGGCTGGATTCGTAACCTCGGCAAAGGGCTGTCTAATTATCATTCTTTGTGAGAAAGAAGTACAGTAGTAGTGGTGATAGAATAACAGTGAATGGTCAACAAAAGTAACAACGAAAATCCAAATGTCGACAGCGAACAAACCGGCATGTTTGACAACTCAGAATCAGATTTACGAAGAGCGAATTTTCAGCAGATGTTTGGACAGTAAATATTGCAACGGTTTCAGACTGGGCCGTTTATCTGACACTCAATCATATTCTGAGAAAAACAGGAAAACATTAAGACGTTGTGAAAATGTTTCATCCAAACATCTGCTTGGAGATTGGATATACTGTAAATTCATTTATTTTCGGGGACTTAATTTAAGGACGGAAGAGTTTGCAGTGTTTTAAATACGCTGTTGAACCAATTGTCTAGTACAGTAGCAATTGGAAACGCGTCATGAAGAGGTCACTAGCCACGAAAATCGCGAAAATAAAACTACAACGACCTTTTGAATCACAGCACTGAGGAGACAGTAGCCTGCGGAGATACTGTAATTCACTTTATGTTCACAGTAGCAAAAGTTCACAGTTGCGGCAGGTGCAGAACAAGAAAGTCGGCGAATTATTTGTTAAGGCTAGGGTAAAGATAAGTTCTCGGTACAGAATTGACCACGAAAACCGCCAACGTGCAACATAAACGTACCTGACATCACCTCAATTATCCCTTGACCTCGTAAAAAAGTAAAAGTACATGGAATAGGAAATGGTTAGGGTTTATGCCAATAGATGCAATGTAAGTATTTGATGTCTATTGTACAGTGAAAAAATCAGTAACGTTAGTTCCTTTTCTGTTGGGAGGATATATAACGTTATCATAAACACATCCCCACGTCATCGCCGCCGTCCGACACGTCCCTGTGTTTCACCAGGGAGCCCCTGTCAGATGGTAATCTGTTCCCAACAGTAGCGGAGTGTCCGCTGACGTAGATCGGCTTTGTTCCCTGACGTACACCGCACTAATCGCGCGGCCGATCTGCCCATTCCCGTGTCTCAGGCCAATCATCGAACGTCGCTACGTTCTCTTCCTCCGCTCCAGGACGTAAACATGTTCCAACTTAAGGGGATCGTCCGGCAAAGGTCTACGTTGTTGCCAAAACGAAGTTGTGTCGTTAGGACAGCTGAGGGGTGGAGTTGAAGGCTCGCATTTTCGGTCAAGGACGCCGTTGTCAAGCCAAATAAATGATCCTGCCAAATATATTACTCCGACTCTACTTATGGGTTTCCAATACACCTGAGACAAGGGGTGTGAGGGGGTTAATCATGATGTGGGAGACTAAATCATAACTCTAAACACTAGCCCTGAACAATGATCCCAACCCCAACCCTAACCCTAGCCCTAAACACCAGACCTCTCACGTATGTGGCAGCTCAAGGATATGGCTCTACACCGGATCACCTCTTACCGATAAGTGTGTTGGGTTCGTTTACAACCAAAGCTCCCGCATTCGAGGGATCGCCGGTTTTACGGCCTCATCCGAAAGGACGAATGCAACCCCATAATCCTGCCTAGGGGTGGATTAATGAGGTCGGCTTCATCCGCAAAACGACCTTTGCACACAATCACAGTAAAACAGTTTCAAGGTTGAAATATCATTGCGAATTTTTAACGTTTTAGACAAAATCCAAACCGAAGTAACCCCCTGCTATATCAGAATCGTGACCAAAGCAATAAAACAAAACAACAGGCGGTCCGCGTTATTTTCGCGTCTTCTGAATAATCATATTGGCTCTGACGCAAACGGACGTTGTGGCCAGGTCGGCCATATTTGGATATCCCTTTGCGTTGCCATGACGACCGGTGTTTCGCGTGCGTCACTTTCTCGTGTTTCTAATTACTCCCGTTCGAGACGAGTTGTTTTGATATCATCCGCAGCTCGAGGTTTGGCAGACAGAACTGTCGTACCCTCAGGGTTTTGGCTTTCATTTCTGGTGAAATAATTTCCTGTGAGGAAATCAAAGATGAGCGACGGAGAGGAAAAAAATAACTGATGGATAAGGATGTAGTGAGATTGAAGAAAGTGTTGACGTGTTTATGCGTAATGTATACGTGGGGAGCAAAGTACAATCAAGAATTATAGATGCAGTCATCTTTTTTTTTCATTAAAATGAAAGAAATTAATGCAAATGGCACGAAGACTAAAAAACAAACGTTCATCGCCACCTATACCTCCAGTGGTATTTTTGACCCTGCACAGAGCGCACTTGTTATTTAAAACATTCATGATGTGGACACTGAGAGCGCTAAAAAATATGCTTCAGACTGTCACCTCCTGAAACTTTGCACAACAGTAGTCTCTATCACACTCCAGA